GAACAGACACATACTGGACACGCTCATTCATTATCATTGGGACTGGCTGTGCCTGCTGGGACTTTGTGTAGCGATTGCCGTGGGGGCCGACCGCTGAAGAGGCCTCTCGGAGGTTGTCCTGATGGCCAAATTTCAGACAATGTTAAAGAGCCGGAGCTCAGCTCTGGGGCTAAAATAACTCACAAGGGGAGCGCCGCTGTCAAGTGCACCGCAACACACGTTCACAAAAAATGTGTAGTGAGGAGTGCCTGTAGGACAGAACATGAAGCACATGGGCTTCAGTGTTTGACGCTGAAATGCATTTGGTGGTTGTGCTGATAAGTAGTCGATTAAAAGCATAAATGTTTTGTCTAAAACAATATCAATCAAACTAGCTGAGGCAGATTGACATCTGTAGTCTATACATTACTGTTTTAAGATCGGACAAGTCGGTGTTGCATTATGGGAGTCCTGTTAGTACTTAGTGGCAAACTGAGGACTGGAATGGCCGAAGACGTTGTTATAATTAGCAAGCGCTACCCAAACTCATACCTGCAGGCAACTCATTTACTTGAAAGAAACTCATTTATAGAAGCGGAAATGATTATTTCCATTAGGAATTAATTTACTGCTTATTTTCCAGCTTCCTGTCAAATTTAGTCTATAATACATCAGAAAAATTGTGATAAATGATAATCAAAAGAGCCGAAAGTGACGTCTTTAAATTCTTCGTATTATCTGACCAACAGCCCAAATATCTTTAATTAATTTAATGATCGACTAATTGTTTTGGCTCTAGCTACGCCTGCTGTGTAACATGACATAGCATTGACACCTCAGTCAGAGTAGTGTGAGTGAGACATTACTCAGCTGTGGACTGTCTTCTGCTGCATTGTGCGCTCCTCTGACAGCCCCTCACTCTGTATTCCACCTCTGTCTGATGCTCTGTCCACATTACTCCGTTTCTACTTGGAAGCAGAGTTGTCAAATAGAAACGATCTCCGTCCACACGGGAGTTTCAGCATCATTCTCGAGTTGATCTGCATCCACATGGCAGCCTTCAAAGGCGGACAGCAGGTGACCATTAATGTACACTGGGCATGTGCGTGAGGGTGTAAACAGGAAGTGGATTGATTGCTTGCTTAGTTAAAAAAAAAATATGACAGAGTAATAAAGTAGTCTTTAATAATGAAAGGTTGTATTTGATACTTAAGATCTTCCTCTAAAATCTCCCTCTATAAACTCAGACAGTTCGTGGAAAGTTTTAGAAGTTTTATTTTTCAGACGTAGTTACAGCGCTGCGGGTCTATCTCTCTCACATCAAATTTACTTTAACATCAACACTTACACGTAAACGTTTACTAGATTATGAGTCCATCAATGTGGTCAACACACGTCTCTCACTCGTTTCCTCTGTGTTGTAGATGTCTGTTCTCACTAGTAGCTCTGAACATCATGTCCGCCTAGCTAGCTTCTAAGCTAATTTTAATATTACCGCCAATGGAGAAATGCTAACCGCGATTAGCATTACAGCGCTGCGGGTCTATCTCTCTCTCACATCAAATTTACTTTAAAATCAACACTTACACATAAACATTTACTAGATTATGGGTCCATAAATGTGGTCAACACACGTCTCACTCTATTCTGCTCTTGCTTCGTGCATAAAGCTTAGCAGATCGCTAACAGTAGATCCGTGAAATAAAGACCATGGAATCCATAGAAGAGTTTCAAGACTTTAGTGTGAATCTTTCTTATTTGTAAAACTGTGTAAACACAATATGAAATATAGCTTTACAAACTGTCCATATACACATACATGAATACAAAACAACAATCCATGATATAGCCAGCATGTAACATGTCCGCCTAGCTAGCTTCTAAGCTAATTTTAACATTACCGCCAATGGAGAAATGCTAACCGCGATTAGCATTTAATACAACACAAATGTTATACTAAACACGCGAATAGAATATATCTACATACATCTTTTCATGCTTCATGAAGACATACTTACAGACTAAGGTCTCTCAAGGCTACCAAACGGAAGAAGTAGTGTCTTCTCATTAGAATCTAAAAACAACGAGCTGCTCCATAGGGCTGATGCTGGTCACGCTAATCACTCCAACAGCTGCTTCCTCCACAGAAATGCAGACTTTACTAGCAGCAACGCTTGAAATTAGTTATCCATGTTGAAATGAATTACTGGTCGCCCTGGCTGTTTGTTTTCTTCCGGGTACGGGTCACGTGATAGTGAGTTTGACAAATCAGGGATGGAGATGTCATGGCTGCTAATAACCAATCCAGTAGCGAACACGGGTGTGGGCTCATTTTTTCTAACACACATCCGTATCCGACCGTCCACACGCAAATGCTACCCCGGAGTTTTCAAATACCTCCAACCTCTGGGGAGTTTTCAGACTCCTCTGTTTAGGGTGCTCCAAAACTCCGGCGTAGTGTAGCCGCTCAGTGTAAACGTAGCAAATACGGAGTAAAAACGGAGTAGTATGGACATGGCCTGAGGATCTGCTGACTTTGGCCGGCCGGTGATTGCCTGAAGGCTTTGAGTTTACAGGCGGCTGGCTTTAGGGAAAACCCTCCAGAGAAAGAAGGTCATCTATCTGATGTAAGCTTTGCCGGGTTCAAAGACGAGGAAAAAAAAAAAAGAAAAGCTAATTGGTCAAGGGTAATTGAGCAAAAGCAGCCAGGACGGAGATGGTCAATATCAAGTGTATTCCAGTACGGAGGGAAAGATCTTGTCGTGATCTTCCATCTTCATTATTGGAACCGCTGGCTCTCCTGCGATGCTATTTCACCTTGTGTGCCGTTGAGCAATGTTGAGACGACTTTGCAAACTCCGCAGTGAAGTTTTGTTCTCGTTTCGTCAGTGTTTAAATCTTTTAGCAGAAGCCTGTGATGGAGTGCAGCTCATGGTCTTTTCGGAAGATTTGTTCTCCCTGTTTTGTATGGCAAGATCGCATTTTTCATTCAACCAGGGTCGATAACTTTGCGACTACACTGAATTACAAAGTTCCCTCATGCGACCTTCTATTTCTGATTCATTCTTTGTCTCTCTTTCTTACTTCTTAATTCTATTTCCCACATTCAAAAACTTGCTTAAAAAAAAAAAAACAGGCTTTTTTAAAAACAGCATTGTCCTTCTGTTTCCTTCTGCTCTGTTGATTTCAGCCATTCTGCCTTTAGATGCTCACTAAGAACACACTTACGTCTGGGACCAAAGGGTACCTACCTGGAAACATTGACCTCGACTGCTGTTTTCAAGCTACAGGCGTTCAGCCGTTCTTTGGCAGTAGGTCGTTGAGAGGTGAAGCTTCCCTGTAGTCACGCTTCGTTTCGCCAATTCACCTGTCAGCGAATCTCAATGTATCGCATCCTCAATTTTTTTCTATATCACAGCTCACGCTAATTTTTCCACAGTTATTACAAGCAGTCAGATAGATCTGAACTCCCTCGTTATTTAGACAAAGGCTGCATCTAATACACGCATCTGTGTGAGCCACCTCAGTACATCAACATCACAGAAATTCAACACAAATCCTTCTGCTGTGCATTACAAGTGTGCTGTAATTTGCAAAAATATGTTGTTTTTTTACATAGCAGCACTGAAAGCGTATGGCATTTCACACTGCATGAATTAGCCTAGCGGCCAGCGGACTTTTACTTACTCAATGCTCTTCTTCTCTTACTTGGTTTGAAGTCACTGAACTGAAACCAAACTCCATATTGTGTTCCTCACCGCGTTCCATTTCCTCACCTCTGACAGCGACGGGTGCACTTTAGGACAATAGATTGCATGTGTTTATGTGATGCTATTAAATTAGGTCTGGGGGCTACACTTATGACTTCCTTTGGACCCTGAGTGGATCTGCTGCATCCTCTCCCCGAGCCCAGAGGCACTCGACGCGCCTCCGAGTGCACGCGGCGCTCTGGAGACATCTGTGGGTCTCCAAGGTAGCAGCACAAAGGAAGATTAGGCACCCTGCTTCAAGGCTTTTGTTAAGTAATTCCACATCTCCTTTAATAATTCAAAGCGGCACCAGCCGAGCTTCCACACAAGCGATATATGGTAACGTTGTGATCTCTGTGGCCGGAAGGGATTTTTATCTTTTCCTTTATGCCGTTTTGTGTGCCCTAAACATGAGGGGGAGGGGTGGTTTCAGGGAAACATAGCCACACAAAAGGATCAGACAATGATGCTCTTAGGTGTTGAGTTGTGTGTGTGTGTGTGTGTTTGTGTGTATACATAGGGGCTACGTAGGCTGTGCTGTAGTGTCACTCACTTGAAACATGAACCGGTGTTGTGCCACTGAGTCACCGGTGGGACTCCAGCCCCCAAGAGCCACCTGTCTGCCGTGTATGTTTGCATGCAAGAGTTTCTGTGTTTCTTTGTTTTTTCTTTTCTTTTCTTCCTGTGTGAACATGCTGATGAAATAAATATCATACGCACTTCTCTCTCTCTCTCTGGAGGAGCTGCAGATCGGCAGCCATCCACGGAAGGCAACCCTGTATGTCATGGGGGAACAAAGCTAGCATGTGATGGCCTGAAAGCTGGAAATAAAACAGGACTTATCCAGCACCATCCTAGACACATGTTTATACACGCTGCATGTATTTCCTCAAATGCAAGCACGGTGGGGGCATTTAGACAGTCTAATTTACACTTCAGGTTTTTAATGCAAGGTTTGGGGTTCTTATTTAATAGACCTTAAGGGGCACACTTCCCTTTTTTTTTTTTTTTTTTTTTTCTTTACTTTTCTCTCCCTCCAACCCTCTCCTCCACTGCACCTGTTTTGAGCAATACCTTTGGGGCACAGCTTGAGGTGAATAATGTATGAGCGAGAGGGAAAATCAGAAAACCTTTGTGGACCCTCTGTGTCTGGCTGGCTGTCTGTCTTCCACCTCCTTTGTCTCTATCGCTAGTTTTACCCTCCAGGTTTCTCCCTCACTTTTGGGCTGATTTATTTATATATATTTGTTTCTCTCTCTCTCGCTCTCGCAGTGAGGTTCGTCGACTGTGGCCGAGGGGGTCTGGTGCGGTTTGAATGCAGTAACCCGTCTGACTTCCGGATAGAGGCCGACGGAGTGGTCTATGCTGCCAGGACCATCCGGCACTCCACGCCCGCCGCGTCACCGCTGCTGATCAAGGCCAGCGACGCCACCACTCAGCAGCAATGGGTGGCCCAAGTCAGGCTGACGCCCTCCAGCCAGCAGGTGAATGCGCCTTAACCACTTCCACGACATCTCCGGCTTGTTTGTTGACTGATGTTACCGCCGCAGAAAGGTGGAATGATCAATTCTCCCCCCCTTGCATCCAATAACTCACGCTTATTAGGCACACCGCACATTCACAGATGACTAGTTCCCTAAATTGTAGCAGGTGTTCCGAGAGACTGGATGGCTGCTCGCTAATTAAAACTTAATGTGTCAATTTAGTAGGAGCACAAACATATACTCTACACGGTCAGCGGGTAGTGAAAGCAGATGCAAAATGGCTCCTCGTAAAGTTGATTTTCGGCGAGCGTGCCGTGCGATTGTGAGGTTATTGCCTTATCATCCAAACGGGGACACGCCTCTCTCAGTGCTGTGGAAGACGGGAAGCATCTGTCTGAGCTATGGAGAAAGCGCTCCAACTGTTCCGCTGGACGTGTTGCGCAGTCATCTGCAATTAGTTAGAATGGCCGTGTCCTTGTGTGTCAACATGGCGGCTGGCCGTGGATCAGAGGAAGTGCACAAAAAAACAAGCGCTGCACATGTCCTTTCTGTCTGCCTGGTAACCAGGAAATGAAAAGAAGCGCAGAGAGGCCGTGTTATTGTAGAGGTCTCTAACTTCAGTGCCAGTGGATTATGTGATCCTGCTCAATTAGATAATATCTGTTGCTTTGAAGCTACAGTGGTGACGCCACACACACACGCACGCGCACACACGCACGCACACACACACACACACGCGCACGCACACACACACACACAGATTTTTGAACTGCCAATTCCATTTTTCTTTCTTTTGAAAAGCTGTAATTGACAGCACACAAACATTTTTGTAACTTCTCTTAGAAATTAGGAACATAATATGTAAATATTTACATATCAGAGAAACTATTCCATACTGTGTATGTATGCATATATATGTATGTATATATAGTGTGTCAACTATTTCTTATCCTCTTATCTAAAACTATGTATTTGTTTGTCTATTTATTTATAAAAAACTATTTATGAATCTGTATCTAAAGTCGCTAAATCTAGTTGGCGACTCTGTGTGTGGCTGTGACAATAGGAGGGTCACTGCCTGTGCCACCGTGTGCACGACGCTAATCACCACGTGGCTCGTGCGTATATATATTTGACCGGCAGAGAATCGGCGTTATCTGAGACTGACCATCAGGTCATCGGTCATGCCAGATCAAAACGGGCCGATCGATCGGTGCGTCTCTGCTGTTCTCTCCTCTGTGTGCTGCTCTCTATCCCGAGTGAGCCTTTATGTGCATACGTTAATGATCATCGCCATACGATCTTAAATCATTAGCCTTCTGGCATCTTAATGAACACCCCCAAAAGCAATAATAGTGTTTGCTTTATAAAGAGCGATGTGCGTCTCTCTCTCCTTTTTCATCCCTGTAATACACTTAAGCAAATGGCCACAAGTGGCCATTCCTAAACGGGCTGCAGAGCAGATAATCTGAGGAAAGGCGGGTGTTTTATTGTGCGTGGGTGCAGATTAAAAGTTAACACCAACAGTTACTGTCTGCTGGGCCCAAATTAAACCTGTGGCCGGTAATGATTCCATGGCTTTACAAAACACTGTCGTTAGCCACTGACACTCATTTACTATTGGGACTCCTGCAGGTATGTGCTTTTAATGGGACCATTACTCACCGTTGTCGGCCGGTCAAAGGCAAATACATACTTGTCCCAAGTAGGGTTTTTTTCTTCTTAGTTTTCCAATAAAAATCCGAAGCCCACATTGGCTGTACATTGTTGTACAGCAGCAGCTGTTTACTGATCAGTATCTGCGGGCAGCGGTTGGGTTTGCCCCCTGATTTGTCGGTAATGAAATCAAGGATTGACTTTCCCGTATCTCCCACGATTATGAGGTCATGAGCGGTTATCTTCCCCCTCAGCACAATTATTGTCATGAATCATCACGCATCTCTTAATCACATAAGTGATTTGCATTTATTTTTTTTATTTTTATTTTTTTTATTAGTCCATGATTGCGGCGGCCTTGGGGGAAACATTTTAATCAATGACAACCAAACAATATCCTCATCAACATGAGTGTCCTCGGCCGCTGTCTCCACCTCTATTACAACCCCGGAGTCCGTGAGGTGAAAACATGTCGTATCTGAAAGGGAGAATTTTTCTAAAAAGGACAAATAGACTCATGCCTAATCTCTCCCCCCCCACCCCACACGCAGGTCATCACTCAGCCGAACACTCTCCTGGACTCTAAAGTAGACTCCTAGTGGGAAGATGGAGGGGGGGTTCTTAGAGTGTAGAAAGGCGCGGGACCTCCAGCGCTCCACAGATAGATGTGTGTTGGGCTGAACGAACCCAGCGTGCCATTCATCATTCCAGACGCGGTTTGCAAATAATTACTGCCCTCACTTGCGCCCATTCTAATAGGGTAATAGATATTTCTGAAGCATGCTCCTTCACTATCTGTCTGCTCGCCTCTCTGCATTTCCAATGTGTGAAAGCAGTATAATCGGATTTCAAACATGATTAGTGGAAGCTCTGCGACAGCTCCCCAGATGTTAAGAGGTGGGGGGGAGGGGGGATATGGGATCACGCTATAAGGTGACAAAGGGGTAATTATTTTCTGTATTTACAGAGGACACTTTGTAGTATTCTGTAGGACTTGACTACCTCACAACCAATCAACATTTGAATAATTACAGGCAACAGTAGGGAAGATACTTCAAGGGACTTGAACGCTCCATTGAATTCCCAGCTATCATTCATTGACATTGACAGATTTTACATATTGTTTTTCTGTTTTCCTTCCCGCCTCATTTCGTTCAAGGTTATTTTAACTTTCCCTGGCACTACTTCAGTCTCCTCAGTCTCTGGAGCGGCATAGGCAATTTGAGCCATCTGTGTGTTTAGTGTTCTGGCTTGCAGGTACCATCCTCCTTTGTTTCAAATCTCATTCATTACAGCCGAGGGAGGATGGCAGATCCATTATGGAAGCTGCTCTGTCTGTGTGGGCGCATTTTATCAGGACATAAGAAGGGGTCTGCCGTTTAAAGCAAAGAGGGCTGTCCGTGTGCGGCTGCCGCTGCCGTAACCACACCAAAGCATTTCAAGGCATATCATCACATGTTGTACTGTAGATATTTTAAGCTACAAAGAAAGTCGCAAAAAAAAAAAAAAAATGGATTGTGTGGTTGATCACACATTTCTGAATACGTATTGAATGGCATTTGGAAGAGCTTATTAGTTTTGCAGGAATTGCAGCCGGTTTCGTTTTATCACCACATCAAGTTCCTTTGATGGAACCGTCGTCAGTCAGCCCGCAATACCGTTCATTGCAGTAAGGTGTCGCAACAGTGTTGGGGTTGGCACCGGCTGCTATTGATTGTAGCTGAATGGATACACGATCGGATTAAGTCTTTCATTCCCGCAGGATAACAAGACTAAGAGTCGGTGCTTTATCCACCGTCTTAGTTTAGCATGTTTGCCAACTAGCTAACAAAATGACATTACATGCCATTAGATTTCTACTTAGGTATTGGATGTATGGAAATGTTGACCTGATAATGGCTCTAGATTAAAGGATAAGGAATGCTTGAGGAGATCACTGAAGCCATAGGTTTCATCCTCTGGGGACCAGGAATGTCCGTATAACATTTCATGACAATCCATCCAACAGCTGTCTCAGGTATTGGATGTATGGAAATGTTGACCTGATAATGGCGCTAGATTAAAGGATAAGGAATGCTTGAGGAGATCACTGAAGCCATAGGGTTCATCCTCTGGGGACCACGAATGTCCGTATAACATTTCATGACAATCCATCCAACAGCTGTCTCGCCATTTCAGTCTGCGGTGGACCGATCGACCGGCCAACGATGCCGCCCGTAGAGCCATGCCGCTAGCGTGATTTTAAAAATGAATGTACTGGTCTGTATTTTTTCTGCACAGATATGATCACTGCTCAGCCCTTGAACTTAATCATTTTCCTTTTCACAGGTCCAGCAAGTTGCTGCCCCTCCAGTCATGTCGAAGGATTTGAAGGAAATAGCGTTTCCATCCCGAAACGCGGACAGCCCACTCAAACGCATGAAGAGAGACTGGGTCATCCCCCCAATCAATGTCCCAGAGAACTCACGAGGCCCATTCCCACAAGAGCTTGTCCGGGTAACGTAGCTCACCCAAGCGCACGCACACACACACACATACACACACACCACTCTCACGACATGAAAGAAAATGCCTATTTGCTAGATATGACAACCTTGTAGCTCCCACTCGGAGGGTCACAGACATTGGATGTATGCCTTCTCCAAATGCTTCATATTTACAGCACTTTGCTTAAGCTCAGGGCTCTTATTATTTATCTTTTGTTTAAGGGCCAGTCGCCGGTCGGTATTGCTGTAACCTGGCATTACTTAGAAGCAGAGAGAAATCTGAAGTGGCCACCAGCACAATTGCTCCTTGGTTGCCTGTTGAGATATTATACTCCTTTTTATCATGGCTCAAGGACACTCGCGACCAAATTAATTTGCTGCCATTCTCTGGTCAGGGCTGGGTGTAGATGGTTCACAGAGGACAAGCAACGCTCCCAGGGACAGCTAAGAAGTAGACGTTAAGCTGACTTCCGAACCGAGTTTTTAAGTCCTGTACATGCTTTTATATTTAATCCGGTCATATTAGAAGGATGTTTCTGGGCCGTAATGGATGATACCAGGATGAGGAAATACTCTGTGCCTACACCCTCCATCCATGCTGAGCAAACAGAGGGTCTCGGCTTACATGGCAAACAGGATAGACGGCCCAGAACATCAGTACACAGACGCACACACACTCTTCATATGCACTCTTTTACTGACACGGCAACCTATTTTTAAACCAATACCATGATTGGTACTGAAATAAACATCGCATGAACACATAGACTTCGCTACAAGTGTTTATATGTCGATGTCAAAAGGGAACTATCAGTCCATGTTGTTATCAGATATGATATCAGCTAAAAGAAAATCAAGTGGTATCCCGGGTACGGTCAGCATTGCTTTTGCTGCTCATCATTAATAAATCTTTCCACCCACAGATCCGGTCGGACCACGACAAAAACCGGTCCCTCAGATACAGTGTGACGGGTCCTGGAGCTGACCAGCCCCCCACCGGCATCTTCATCATTGAACCAATCTCTGGAGAGCTATCTGTCAACAAGCCCCTGGATCGAGAGCACATCTCTAACTTCCATGTACGTGAGACACCGTAGTTTAAAAAAAAAGAATCTCTTTATGATATCCTCATGATTGTAAAATGGTGTTCTCTCTGTCCGTGCTGTCCATTCCTGCCAGTTGTCATGTGCCCGAGGGTCACGTGTAGCCTATACAGTCTGCTCAGACCCAATAAAGACCGGGGTCTCCCAGGAAGTCTGACTTATCCGTCTGAGAATGTAGAGGACTTAGCGTGATGTTTTGGAGTGAACCGAGTGTGTTGGATGCATTATGATAACCTGCGGCTCCTTCAGAGCTGCTTCATTCATTAGTGGTTCTCCCATTACATCGCAGTGGTCTTTAAATTCTATAGCTTAGCTTTTAATGCTATTCAAGCACGTGCGTCAACACAAAACGGTAGACATCAAGCAGAGCTGTAGTTAAAATGATCGAGTCTACTTACGTGATCTTTGAAGGGCACGAAAGACTTTCACGACAAGAAACCTTCACAGACGTCCAACCTGAACTGTGAACTGCAGATCAATGAGGAGCTCAGTTTTATCTGTCACTAACTTGTGAATCACATTTACTATTAAACTTACTGTCTGTACTCCACTTTCAGTATAAACATTCATTTATTTCCACTTCAACTAGACTTTAAGGCATTACATCTGAAGGATTCTGTTCATAGTCTTGTTGATAAACTGTTACCTATATTTATTAAAGAGAATGAATGCAGTCAATTGAACTCCTGTGTGAGACACCAACCTTGCAGTTGTGTGTGTATGCAGGAGAGATGTACTTGAAGTGCAAAAAAAGGCAGCAAATCGGTACTGAATAAAATCAGTTTGTTTTCAAGAGACGACCGTGAACACGCTGCCGGTATCTCCCTAAAAAAACGAATCGCGTGTGTCTCTTTTGAAAGAATTTAGTTTTTACGAAACCAGAATTAAATGCAGAGGTCAGTGGGTGACATTGAGCGAGTAGTTCGCGCTCTGTCCCAATATAGTGTTTGCACAGCCGAGAATCATCCCTGCTCGAACGCGTTCTACAGCCCAGATGTGTTTGTGTTTCCTCCAGCTGAGAGCCCATGCGGTGGACCTGAACGGCAACCAGGTAGAAAACCCGATTGACATTGTGATCAATGTGATCGACATGAACGACAACAGACCCGAGTTCACTCACCAGATCTGGAACGGCACCGTTCCAGAGGGTTCCAAGCCAGGTAATGCACCACGCGAAGCCTCCCACCGTTCGAGCGACCCGATTGGCTGTAGTCTGAGCCCCCGGCTTCACATGCCGCCGTACCGTTGGCAGACCAAACGGCATCAACGGCCACTGTGTTGACTTTGCATTAAAGCGTTTATGGGTATTTTAAGACCACAAGGAAAGAACATTGGATTCCTATATTACAAAGCTTTAAATCTAGCAGCGCTCAATGCGGCACCGTCTGCTCAACTTCGAATGTCTTTTGATTGCCGATAAACAAATGAGTTAAACGTATTTGCGCTCTGTCTTCCTGTCCTCTAGGAACATTTGTTATGACGGTGACGTCTGTCGACAAAGACGACCCGAAAACAGCCAATGGGATGCTGCGTTACAAGATCCTGTCTCAGAACCCAGAGAGCCCGACCTCCAACATGTACACCATCAACAATAAGACGGGAGGCATCATCACGGTGGCGGCAGGCCTGGACAGAGAGGTGCTTGATGCTTTGTCTTTCCGACAATTCATTGTTTCTGGTCCATCACTTTATGACTTAGCTTTCTAGAAACTCAATGTTTGTGAATGTAGACTTGATTGTTTCAGCATTTAAGTGAGACTATTATATTGATTCATTTTCCTCTTGCATTTGTCGCCTGTTGCAGATTTAGATCAACGCATCCCTGTTTACATAAATGGACTGAACATTTCTCTTTTTCAACATGACAAAACACAGCTTGAGTGTATTTGCTAATATCCAGACTGAGGACTAATGAGCCCAAGTGAATTTAGTTGATTACCGACTAAATGAGAAGTAGAAATGGACTTGGCTGCTTCACACTTATTTACTCTTTCAAGGAGGCAGCGTGCATCACTGAGCAGCTAAATGTTCCCTTTCCTTCATTCTCGCCCCCTCCGTCTTTCTTTCTCTAAAGCAGAAGCTTTACTCCCATTTTCCTCTCTATTTCCCGGCCACCCACCCCACCCCACCTTTTCATTTAATTGGATCGCATGGCTGTTTGAGACAATAAATAAAAATAAATATAGAAAGCCAAAGCCAGTTGGTGCAATTCTACTGAGGGCAATCTGGCTAGGTGGCTGCTCAATCACTTCCGCCCTGGGGCCGCCGTTTTATGTCCGCCAGTTGCCACCATGAAAGTAATTTGCCCCGACTCTCATTACCTAGCAACTGGTCCATCACCTGAGTGGCTTTTAATGTGAAGAGAGTCATTTGTTAGCTTCATGATGGTGTACATAGCACAGTTTCACACATACACTCGCAAACTGGCATCCCCCATAGAGAATGAATGGGATGTATACAAAAAGCCACAATTAGTCATCATAATTAAGAAGCCGGCCAGGTTTGTTTCATTTGAGGTTGGACACAGTCGTACTGATGTGCATTGAGGTGCCAGCTTATTAGGGACACGTGTGTCGCCCATTGCAAGCTAAAAAAAACTTTACAGAAAGAAAAAAATCGTTATTTTGCTGAGAATTTGTTAATAAAACTTTTGTCCTCATTTACATACAAACTGACAGTTCAGTGCGATTTCTTCAAACGCGGCTACAGAATTGATTTTATGGCTGAAAGAAGAAAGAATTGTGCCTTAATTCCTACTATTGCCTCGCTTCCCTTTCCCTCCAGAAAGTGCCTCAGTACACGCTGATCATCCAGGCCACGGACATGGAGGGCAACCCCATGTACGGCCTCTCCAACACAGCCACTGCTGTCATCAGAGTGACGGACGTTAACGACAATCCGCCAGAGTTTACTGCTGAGACGGTAAGAAACAAATTCATATCTGAGGCAGCAAACGGGGCAATCTTAGCCCAGGGAAAGCAGCACGAGGACCCCTGTTTCACCCTGAGTATGCACTCAGCCGCCAGTTCCGCTCACTTACCTAGTTCTGCTTGACCAGCGCCTCTGAAGCCGTACAGATATGCAAGTAGCCAGCCGTGCGTAAAGTGTTATATCAAATGTTGACACGTGCAACTACTGGGATGCATGCCTGAGTGAAAGAGGCACTTACTGTGTATTTGTACTGAGAATGAGATGACCATGACCACATGATGAGTTGCCTTAGATGTCTGTTTATCCAAGATCGGTCCTCCCGTGCCGTGTGAGGCCGGGCTCGGGAATATTTTTTGTTTCTGCCGCCGCAGCAGTATCACTAACGGCTCGCTGTTTCTGTCCCTTCATGGTTTATTCACGCAGTTTTTCGGCGAGGTGCCCGAGAACCGCGTGAACGTCATCGTGGCCAACCTGACGGTGACCGACAAGGATCAGCCCAACACGCCGGCCTGGAACGCTGTCTACAAGATCACCGGGGGCGACCCCACCGGCAGGTTCTCCGTGCCCACCGATCCCACCACTAACGAGGGCCTGGTGACGGTCGTCAAGGTGAGGCCTCCTCTTCAAACTCCGCCCCTGTAATCCCTCAGAGAGGCATGGGAGACTACTCATGTAACACTTATTCACTGTATTGTGTATTGCCACGCGCATTTTGGGATTAAATGACACATTTAGTCATAAACAGCCTGATTATTACAGAATGAGGAAGAAGTGAACATTTGTTTCACTTGATCAAGTTATAACATGATGTGGTGTTATCTGAGTGTGTTATAATGGTGTTTGGTTGTCTCTCCATTCATATCTGGCAGTGAGAAGCATTTTGTGTAACACAGTTCACAGGAGACCAGTACTGACCAAACTCAAGGTCACTGCAGCACATTTGTCACATATATAAATTTTTAAATGCATAATTAATACTTGTAACGTGATTTTTAAAAAGCTCTCTTGCCGTTGTGTACGCTTTAACTGACCACATATGGACACAGTCTCTTTATTGCATCTCATTATATTATATTATATATACATATTGTGAGCTTTCCCGATACGACGTTTCAAGCAAGAGGAAGGAAAAAAAAAAAGCTTGAGTTCTCTTGGTTTGCTCTCTCACTAGTTTCACGTTACCAAAAATGTAACGTGATTCCCTTTTTGTTTAATTCATCCTGCACCTCCATTCACACCCTCTTCCTGTTTCTTCCAGCCCATTGACTATGAAACCAGCAGGACGTATGTGCTGACGGTGGAGGCGAGGAACGAGGTCCCCCTGGCCAGAGGCATCCACTCTCCTCGACAGTCCACCGCTACCGTCTCCATCAGAGTGATCGACGTCAACGAGAGTCCCTACTTCGAGCCCAACCCCGAACTCATTAGACGGGACGAGGGCATTTTGTCTGGGTCAACGCTGTGCACCTTCACTGCACAGGACCCGGATCGCTTCATGAAGCAAAGCATCAGGTAGATTTTACAGCAAAAATGGAGTCGAATCCATTTCATAGCTGAATTTCCTAGAATGTCTGATCTCCCTAAAACATCCAGCACAGATGCTTTATCACACATTCAGCGACAACTGAAATGAAGATGCCGGTAGGTTTATCACTGACTATATAGTCCTCTAAGTGTGAAACAGGAGTAACATGATGATTGAGATGACTGGCCACTTTCTGCTTCATTCCTGCTCAAATAGCACCACGCTGCCAACAACCCCTATTATTTCCTCCTGTTCATCATCAAACAGCCTTTTCCTCGCAGCTGTTTGGCCGCGATAGAGTTTATCAGCCCCAAAACAGTCCATGTGAAATAAGCTAGCTTTGTAATTCCTCGGTTTGTCCTACAAATTAGTTTGAGCTGCTGATAACGACCCAGTTTGGTCTCCGATGTGAGGCTGTTCTCAAAAGTTAGCATTATGTAAAATGCATGATGTCTGAAATATTTATTCTGTGTACAAATAAAAACAAAGGAGTTTCTTTAGACGATGCCAGAGCTGGAAATGGAGACTAAATTCAGCAGCAAGATTTCCTTCTGATGAAAACATAATAGAACCTCCTCACTACTTAAAAAAAAAAAGATCTTGCAGATTAACTCCTGATTTAAAATGCATCTTAAAGTAAGGATTATAACTCTGGTTAAACCTGTTTTTCTCTCTCCTTCCCTCAGATACACCAAACTCTCAGATCCAGCCAACTGGCTGAGGATTGACCCGAACACCGGTCGCATCACAACAACTGCCGTTTTGGACCGAGAGGCGCCCTTTGTGAAGAACAGTTTGTACAATGCAACGTTCCTGGCGTCTGACGACGGTAAGTAACCGGTCAAGCGCCGCTGCATTTCCGAAAAATACCTCGTTGAGCTCCGGGCGACACAGCGGTCGCGCTGTCGAGGTGTTTCAGTCGGACTCGTTACATGAGCACTCTGTTCCCTGCCATTGCTGTTAAGAGCATCCAGGAGGAGATAATGCCGCCTTCTTTCAAAAGAAAAACCTCGCGGATGTCTCCAGTAACCTACCTCTCAAAGGTCAATCTTCCACCGAGCATCACTTTGAATTCCACTGCGATACATCTGAAGCCAGGTCCACCAACGCACAATATCTGTTGAAACAAACAAACAAAAAAAAAAAACTAAGTTACAGCCACAAATACATCCACTATGCTTGAAGGTCAACATTGTACCAGGCACTTGGCATGTCTGGAGAGCTGACCGCCTTAGTCCAAGGTTAATGTGCTCACAATCCCAGAGCCATCCGGCCTGTGGATACATTCACCTCTTCCCCGCGCTGGCAGGATTTACCTCTGTTCAGGTTTACCCTGTTCTGCGGAGCATAGCTTAGGGGCCAATAGGCTTAAAAACTCTACCAATAAAGAGGTTTCTCAGCATTAATGGGTCAGGATTGGATGACTAGCTCCTTTGAGCGTGGCCTGAATGGTAAAAAAAAAAAAAAAGCCTCTTAGCGGAGCGAATACATAGAGGAGCCTGAGAGGAGCGACAGTGGGCTCTGTTTGCCTGCTTTAGTATTCCCATCCCGTGTCCTGCGTCAGGAAGGCATTCTTCAGGCGCGCACACACACTCACACTCACACACACACTGCCCAAATGTTCTGATATCTCCCTCTTTCTGTCTCCCTCCTCACTTGAGATTAGATTCTCAGATCAGTATGCAGTTTGGATGGGTCTTCTCCCACTAGAGTAAATAGCTGTTTAGAGTGTCTTATTAAAGCATGAGACCCAAAGAATAAACTCCATACTTTACTTTTCTCTGTCGCCTGCATAATGACTGCGAAAATGAGAAACGGCATTTCAATAGTATATATTCCCGTCCATGTGTACTCCATAAATATGTATGTGCTGAGTTTGTGTGTGCCTGTCCTTCTATGGTCCACGCAGGTGTGCCTCCAGCGAGCGGCACGGGCACTCTGCAGATCTACCTGATAGACATCAACGACAACGCTCCCAAGGTGTTCCCTCAGGAGACCGAGGTATGCGAGAAGCCGGAGCCGAACGCCATCAACATCACCGCGCTGGACGGAGACCTGAACCCCAACGCCGGGCCCTTCGCCTTCGAGCTGGCCCACCGGCCCACTGACGTTCGGAGAAACTGGACCATCACAAGAGTCAGCGGTAAGACGCACAGCAACTCTGGTATAAAGTCATCTTCATGTGGCGTTTTTCAGTTGAATTTGTGACTGGAAAATGAAGAAAGAGAAGCCCTTTTCAGCTGTTTTTTCAATTAATCACGATTATTAATTAGAAAGAAATATGGTTATAACATTCAGCGGCCTGTTCAGTAATTAAAGCTCGAGCAATCGTTGAAAACACTTTGGAGACGTGTAAACAGCCCACTGCAGAGGGGTCAGGTAGAGACACTAAAATATATGAACATTACCATGCAGTCATTAATTGTTTATGCTAATTTAAAAAAGGAAAAACCATGAGTGGTTCGGGTGTTTAGCTATTAGATATTGTCAGTTGAACAGCAGTGAATATATCTTAATAGGATAATGGCATTTGGATTTATTGCAGCTGGGAATTGAGCCTAAGCAGCATTATCAAAAAGGTATTCAGTAGATTTATAAGCTCCAAATCTAAATCCGACCATGTTTTGGATTAGATATGCTGATGCAACTTCCAGGTAGGAATTTACGCCGCATATTTGCCGTAAAAGGAGCGTAATCTTGCTGTGTAACACGGCCTATACAGACGACGATTCACTGTTTTCATTTAATCCCCTCTTAAAGAAGCTGAAGAAACATGATGTTATTTTATTTTCATACACATTGAGCAACTTAATCTCTCGTCTCAGCACTGCTTACGCGTTCGCTCTGAAACGGGCACCGCCGTGAATCACCCACTCACGCTTCCTGTCGTTTTCTCTCTCTGTCAGGTGACTATGCTCAGGTGAGCCTGAAGATCGGCTTCCTTGAGAGCGGTATCTACGAGATCCCCATCATAATCACGGACTCGGGCAACCTGCCCATGTCCAACACCTCCTATCTGCGGATCAAAGTGTGCCAGTGCGACATGAACGGAGACTGCACCGACCAGCAGCACATCATGGCCGCCGGCCTGGGCACCGGGGCCATCATCTCCATCCTCCTCTGCATCATCATCCTCCTCAGTGAGTGTCTCATCGGGGCCCTCTCGAACACGGACGCACACGGGGATTACAAAGGCAGCTAAACGTTATCCGAGATACGGCTAGATTACCGTAGGATTACCAAAAAGATAGCCGTGATCGGGTGCCCGTCCAGGCTCTAAAACACCGGATCCGATTTACATTTGTCTGAAAACATGTGTTATTATGTTTTGTAATATGACATCTGTCTGTCCGTCCATCAGTTCTCGTGCTGATGTTCGTGGTGTGGATGAAGCGCCGCGACAAAGAGCGTCAGGCCAAGCAGCTCCTCATCGACCCGGAGGACGATGTGCGAGACAACATTCTCAAGTACGACGAGGAAGGCGGGGGAGAGGAGGATCAGGTGAGAAGGATGTGGTAAACACAGAGAGCACACTCCTCAACACTTCTGTTGTCCCCGAAAACCTCAATATGCTTATCACTATAAGCGACCGTGTCCCGCATTACCGAGTTTCTTTTTGTTTCCCCCCAAATTAAGGGTATTTTGAATTAGGTGGGGGGACAGTCTGCTCTGTCTCAGTGAGATGTTACATACACACTTGTAGCACCAATTTCTCGAAGATGGCAGAAGAAGATATAGTTTTGGTTTCAGCAAATAAAAATGTCAAACAGCACCCGGACAAACGCACCGTGAAGCTGTGCAGCGTTGCTGAAAGGGTGACATAAGGCGAGTGCGTTGGGGAGCAACATTCAGGTCACATCTACAATATGCAGCAGAGTAGCAGTTTGTGTGTAACCGAAGCAGTCTACGGACAAAAGGGGGGCCACCTCGACACGCATGCACCTCCAATGCATTCCTTCTAGTCCCGCTTATGCTGCTCCGAGACACGCTTCACACAGTCACAACGAGGAGGGAGAGCGTTTCCATTGGAATCTGGAACCTGAAAGAAAGGAGCTGGGAATCGAAATCTGGAATCGATAAGACAAACACATTTTTAACCGGTCTCTGGAAATATTTGAACTGCTTCCTCAACTGGAACCGGCTCCCGCTTCACACAAAACGCACGACAGAAAATGCAGTGCCACAGGCATCAATAAAGTCCCATCTCTTCATCCGCCTTGCGCTGATCAGGCACACACAGACACAAACTCAATTGTCCTAATGACCCCTTGTTAGCACAACGGAATCATTTTATACAAAATAACTGCAGTAATATACCAAATAGGCTGTTTTCTTGCCGCTGGCTGAAACGCTCCGGTGGCTTAGGTCGAGCAGATCCGAGCAGGAGACCCCGGTCTGACCCAGCACAGTTCCAAATTAGCCTCGGAGACTTGTAATTGGTGAGCTGCTGCCATTCGGAGACAGACATCTGCTGCGGCACAATAATGAAGCTCCGTCTAAGGTGACAATATGACTGGAAGGCCATTAAACATCGGCCGGCGATTAGGCAGGTGGGAGTGCACCCACTCGCTCATTGGCGTCCTCGGTTTCACACAGCGAATGGTGGAACCTGTGGACCAGAACATGTTGCATGATAAAAAAAGCACTTCAATTTGTAGAGGGAGAGCAAGCTTCCATTCTTTGAGTGACACAGAGGAGGGCAGAGCGAAGGGAGAAAATGGTCCTTGTCAGGAGATTCAGCGTGGGGGGGTGTGTGTCCCTTTGTCTCCCAGCGATGTGGTCTTTATAATGCCCACCTCTGTTCTCCCTATCTCCCGCCGGGGAGGGAATTGAAGTGTCAGGCCATTGGGTGCACTCCGAGTATATGATTTTAGTTTCCACTGCCATCGCTCCGGCTTGTTTTGGTTTGTGAAGCACTCGTTTCATCAAAAGGCATACAGCTGATCAGGGAAAAATAACAATGGAGGAATAATAGCAGAAGTTGTCGTGCACAGGTTTGCAGGTTAAAAACAAAAAATGTATGTAAGAAAGGGATCGGCTTCTTCAAATGGCCTGAGAATGATTTCACGCATAACCTCAGAGACAACGAGGTTTTGTTTTTCAATCCCATGCAGTAAGTGGAACTACGCAAATCAGACCTGCTTATGCAGGGACTCTGTTTAACATGTCGGAGGAACTGTAACATCTCTAATATCAACGAGATAATTCTGGCTTATCACAATCTGAGGCTTATTTTTTGTTTTTGCACCTCTGGTCATTAGAGACTGTGTACGGTTAATATGAAGCTTAACTCAGGCCCCCCACTCTTTCCTAGAGATCCTTTTCCAGGACCTTGTCAGTGATGAGAGCTGGTATGACAGACGGAGATCGCGCCACACACTAATATGTTCCTCTCTGTGGACGTCAGATCTAAAAGACGTGCAGTCTGTAATCTAGTTCACATGTACACGGGCGCTTTTTTCCTCCTCCATTCTCAAATCAGAAATCCTGTCCAAACGAGCGTGGTTTTGAAAATCTCCGTGCAGACGAAAACGCTAAAACACAAATCTAGCTCTTTCAAAGCCAGTGGGCAGGTTGGTACGCTCGCATACGCGCGCGAGCACATACACACACACTCATCTATGATCATCTCCTATGCGCTTGGAAATTATGACAAAGTGATCATAGACAAAACAAGCTAGCAAGCACCACAGCTGGGCTGCACGGTGGGGTGGTGGCAAAGCCCTGTCTCCTCTGTGTGGAGTTAGCATGTCCTGCCCGTGTCAGCGTGGATTTCCTCCGTTTTGAATGGTGGTCTGTCTCTGTACGTCAGCCCTGCGATATTCTGGCGACCTGTCCATTGTGTACCCATCGTTGATGTCTGCACATTGCTGATCCCGCGACCCTGAAACAGGATGAGCGGTTACGGATAATGGATGGGAATGGATAAATTTAACGTTAAAATGCTCCGGAACATAACTCGGTCCTTTCAGATGGCAAATCTGTTTTGGTGGAGCTCTGATACGTAGATTAGTATTTCATTCTCAGCAAAAGGAAAATAGTAGAATGTTGAAATCATTTTCAGGGACAGGACATGGTTTTACAGGACATTTGAGTTGCTGTTTTTTCCCCACATTTTTTTCAATGACTGGAAAAGTGTGAACCCTGAAACTTAGCATACAGTCTGGCCAAAGAGGGAGACAGCTAGCTGCTTAGTCCAAAGGTTACAGAATCTGTCAACTGGCACGTCTGTTCCCAGTGTGCTAAGCTAAGCTGACCGGCTGCTGGCTCTAGTCTTATGTTGAACAGACAGACAAAGATAGTGGTATACATTTTCTCATCCAAGTCTTTGGATCTATTTATTTAAGACATGTTAAATGCCAGATTATATAAACTATCATATTTGGTCGGTAGAGCCAAAAGTGAGCACAGAGGACATGTTTGTAATAATCCATCACTGCACAGGAAACCTGTGTGTGCTCAGACTTGCACCTGGAGCTCTCTCTATAAACGGCCGGTGTGATCATGTGGCTGTTTCTTGCCCCGTTGGATTTTATTTTTTTGGGTGAAGTTACCGCTCTTCCAGATTCCAGATTTTAATACGTGCGTACGATGTTAATATTACCAGTAGGAATTACGGCAAAAAACGCCGAAATCGATAAACTCAGTTCTGTGTTTTTAAACGGCTCAGCTGTGCCTCACAGCAGATCAAGTGTGTAAGGCAGTCTACCATGTTTGAATGTGGGTCGTTAAGGCCGGAGGCGGCCATTCCAGCCGGCCAGAGTACATGTGAGAAGTCAATTCCCAGGAGGGGGACTGGTATGTCATTAGACCTTCCTGCTGAGTCGGGCCATTATACGTCTCTGTTGCCATTCCCGTTAACCGGCTCCTGACCCCTCCGGTGTGCGACCTCATGAGAAGGTCAGACAGTAGTTGGCCTGAAACGGACCAAAGATGATGGATGCTCGTCACCGCGCGATGTGTGCTGACCGTTGTTCTTGCTTCTCCTCCTCCAGCCAGCCTGCCAGCCTCGGGGTTCACCGCCATTCCCCATGAAATCAAATTACACATGAATAATCAATGTGCTTGTTTTGGATTGGCCGTGGTACTTACTGGTGTGGACTTGAGTTGGTGCTTGTCAAGTGGCCACATGCTCTGTCGTGTTTGTCTATCCGGGCTGTTTGTGCAGCATCACAGGGTTTGTGTTTATTCTCCTGTTTATTTTTACATTGGAGCGTCTGCAACCTTTTCCTTGTTTCCCCTGGGAGTGAGCGTGCGGCTGTCTTTGTGTGTAGGTGCATGTACAACTGAGCAAAGGCAATTTTGAAGGGGGATATTAGAGATGGATGGATTACTGAAAATCTTCTAAAGAGGGACAATCCATCATGCACGCTTATTAGGCGCCCACACACACACACCCTGATTCTCAAATGGCATTTTCTCCATCATATCTGCTGTCACCGGGACACTCCAGTCGCTCAGCTCTGCTCTGCTCTTCACCGCGGCCTCTTTCTCTCCCCCAACTCCTTTTTTCTCTCTTCAATATTTCCCCTCCTCCTTCTTCTTCTGCCCATGACTTTGCACAAACTGCGAGCCATTCAGGTTGCCTTGGTAATGTTAATAGGATTAGCGATGGCTTATGCATATCCACCATCCCGTGTCTGGGCATTGATTAGAGCAAAGCAGTCGCCTGCACGTCCTTCCTGCAGCACACCGCACAAGTACAAACACTCTGCAGGCGTATGATGTGGTCCTCAGCTTGGACCCCCTCGGTGCCGGCTCTCTGGATGTGTCAAATTGTCCCTGGGCTTGTGCTTCACAGACAAGAAGATTTAAAGTTTCCCCTCGGGTACCCTCAACTCTTCCCGCTGCATTCCAACTTTAAAATCTCTTTTCCCCTCCACTCAGCTGAACTTCCTCGTCCTCTGCGCAGAGCAGGATGTGTTTACCTATTTGGATAATCACGCTCCACTTCGGGGTCTCGTCACGCCCGCTTAGCTAACTCCCATCTGTCTATGTGCCCCCCCCCCCCCCCCCCCCCCCCCCCCCCCACACCCACCCCCCCCC